CCCCCCCCCCCCCCCCCCCCCCCCTTGCTCTACTCCCACATCCGCAAAACACACAAACAGGCACACAAGAAGGCAGATGCGCGTACTAGCCTCCACTCATGCGCGCGCACACTCGCACAGACACCACAAATTTGTGCGCTTAGCGAGGATGCAACACACATGTAGGCAAATAAACACACGCACGCACACACGCACACACATACACACTCGCAGGTGATTTATTCCTTTTTTTTAGCTTCCTTCTTCCAGCTTTATTTGTATATATGTATCGATCCTTATTCACAGAAAAACAAAAAACTTTCTCTTGCTTTGTCATAAGACCGGGGCATATGCCCTCCCGAGCTCCTCATACATCACTCATCATGCAAATGAGAGGGAATGTCACTCCTCAGCAGCAGATGGCCAGGGATGATAACAATGGCTCAACAGACCAGTTTCAATGTCTGCGACTTTATCGCTACGGCAACAACAAAAATAGACGATATGAAATCCTTGTCTGTTAATTTGATTTCCCCCCCCCTTTTTTTTAATGTTTGTACCTGTCAGTCTGTTTCATTTCTCCTGGACCATTTGAATGTAAAAGCTTTGTCCAGGGTTCTCTGTGACAAGACGTCTGGCTATCAGTAAAAGGCAGAGACCTGGAAATGATTTTGGGTGACTACGGAAGGCTGCTGCCTAGCAGTTACTCAAGTAATTAGGTGTAATTCCTCCCTGAAGGCCATGTTAGCCTCCTGAGTTAGCTCATGCGTTCGACAGGCCTGGATAGAGACGGGGAAGAATAAAAGAAGAAAAGGGGCCCCGAGAAATCACAAATGCAGCTTTTCAAACTACCCCCCCAGCCAAAGTGATGTCACCCCTGCGTCCTGCTGACTCCTGTTCATACAAGCCCCCATAGCAGAGAGTAAACAGTGGAAGCGTTTAGCAAACAGGGCCAGATTACAATGACAAAGGCAACCACACTTCTGGGTGGAGCCTGGGGCAAGAGGGTGGGGGGTGGGTGGGGGGGGGGGAAAAAAGGGGGGGGGGGGGGGGGGGGGGGGGGCTCAGGATTTAAAATAAGTGATACCCATGAGGGTGGGGCCCCCCCTCAAGATCCAAGCGTAGCTCTTCCACAGCTGATGGTAGGGGCCACCCAAACATGCTTATCTGTAGGTGATGTCCCCCCCAGTCCCCGGGGACTGACGTGTGAACACAATATGTAATAATAATGTATTTTCAGCTCTTTTTTTTTCTGTGATTTGTGCCTTTTGGTTATGCAAGGCTGGGGACTTGAGGATGGAGAATATCATTACTTAAGGTTTGGCAGTTGATCATCACCTTGTTTAATGCCTCATTTGAAAGTCTAATTCCTAACTGTCTTCGAGAGCCAATTCATGATACGCTGCGAAAGAGACGTACAAAGAGAGTCAACCTGCTCGGTTTTCCCCTCTTTTTTGTCACCATTTGTGCCTGATAATCGTATGAAAGTAAAGAATCATCTATCTAGGCATCTCATCAAATAACATGTTCTTTGTTTGCTTATGCCGGCAATCTCGCTGCGAGGACACAACAAGCTTGTTCTAGGGATGATTATTTCATGTCCTGAACTAGATATCAGTATTGCTGGAAGAAAACACACACACAAAAAGAATCAAGTCATGTAAAGCAATCAGCAACATATTGAGGACTACACTGCACCGCCATTACAAAATGTAACATTTTCTTTTGGACCTAACATCTGTTTAATCTAAAAAAAAAAAAAAAAAAAAGAAAAGAGAGAGAGGGACCTCATTCAGAACAGGCATCGAACACACACTAGTGTTTTGTCAAGCTATTTCATCAACTGGAAATGTGGGCATAACTGCAGAGAGCTGATGGAGAAATGAAAGAGGAGTGGGTTGGACAAAATTACATGTCAAACAAGGGTTCACATTTAAAAAGTCCTGCTCATGTTTGTAGAAAGTGTTTGATTGCATTTAGAAAGGTATTACAATGGGTCACATCTGTGTCTAAAAGCTTTTTGCATTCTGCTGCAAATTACATAAGCAAAGCGAAGGGTCACAGCACCCCGTTGTTTGGAGCACTATACCTTCCTCCTGTGAAACCTACACAAATATGTTTAACTGAATTCTTCTAATGCACTGCGAGATCAAAATGTCAGCAGTAAAACTTCAACAAACCCCCTCACTCAACACCCCGCCCCGTAATTTCAACAAAAGCGAAGCGGCTAATTTCGCATGGCAGCCCGAACACCCAAACAACAATGCATATTCACACTGTGCCATTGAATGTGATGGATGTGTAAAAATCTATATTAAACTGTGGTTAATTTCAGCTATAATGCTTTAAGCTTGGTCTAAAATGACACAAATGCTTCTTGGTGGTACTGAAACCTCATTGTGCAACCACTTGATGCCGCTTGTTCATCACACAAAGTCACATAAAAGGACTGAATCAAATGTTTAAAAAAAATTGTATTTGCATATGCAAATACGAGGAAGCAAACATAAGTACATGTTGTTGATATGGCTCCAGGATGTAGAACTATCTTTATGTTAATGTCAGCAGACAGGGAATATTCTTTTGAAAATACAGTACATTTTTCATGGGGATCATTATCTACACTGCATGTCACTGTGTCTCAGTTAACAGAAATGATTAGATTACTTCCCAGCAATCCCCTTTGGGGCGATTTGTGTGTGACCGTGGGCAACCTTACAATATGTTTATCCACTGTCCTTTGAAGACACTTCAATAACATTTCAAATGTTTTATGGACAAATACAGGATGTCTTCTATCTCTGCCTTGAACTGACTCCTTTTTGGATCTAGGGCTCTGTTATATCTGAGTTTGTTGTCCAAATTCGCTGAATGTTCCTCTCACGGGGTATAACATACTTGGGTAGTCCTCAAAAGCTAATCGAATTACTAAGTGGCCAAAGATACAGTTTTACTAGATGTGACAAGTGACCAAAACATGGACTTCTGTGTGTAAAAATCACAATTAAACCTGTATGTTGCGTGCACGGTATTAAAAGTCTACTTCCAAATTCCTAAATCGACGTGGTTCCAGAAGAATTATTGATTTAAAGATTTAATTGTTGCAAGTATAATTGCAGGTTGAAACTATTCACTTTATCAGTACCAATGAAAAGCATCAGTCAGTAGTGGTCACTACAACAAACTGGCCAAAAATCTAATTCTGTGGTGTAGAAAAAAATCAGAATAAGGCTGTAAATTGTGTGCATGGAAATAAAGGTTCTCTCGTAATTCTTAAAACCATGTGGATCCAGAAAAATATTGATTTAATTCAATCTATACTCTTTCTATTACTGCGTGTTCGAAT